TCCAGTAGCTTTGGATTTGAAAGGATTTGCCAAAATAAGTTGATTTCAAAATTAATATAAGAGAAAGCAAAATACATGATTGGACAACTTTCATTTCACTTCTCTTTGACAGTCCTGAAAACGTTCTCATATAAACCAAAAAACATTTGTTTCTTTTATCTATATTGATTATAGATAAATTTAAACATTCACACTTACTTAATTACATGGATGGAAAAGAAATGTCGAAAAGGAAGCCAACAAATGGTAACAACCAGGAAAAAATAGACATGATGCATTGAAATACACACAAACATACATACACACACACACACATATATATATATATATATATATATATATATATATATATATATATATATATATATATATATATAAAATCATATGCATTTAAAACACTCCAAACATTTGTATTCCACAGGGTTTTTCTTTTCTTAATTTTATGAGATGAATATTTATCTGACAAGCAGGTAAACTTATTCACACTTTAAAAGATTCTAAACCGGACACAAATGATCATTCAGGTTGTAAGAAATACAATTTTTGGTGAGTGTACTGCCTGAATAATTTGTATACTGTCATTTTCCTCTCATTCTTGTTTTGTCTCATTTACTGCACAACTAAATGCATGTTACAGCTTTGCAAATTACAGTGCACATCTGTGTCCATTTTTGTCTTTTTTTGGCACATGAGAACACTAGTTGCAGACACTTAAGGTGGAATATTCATATCTTACATATTTGGATAGGTTCCAGACAAAATTTTGGCTAAGATAAATGTATCAAGCAAATGAATACTCTACGTTCATAAACTTAATATTTTGAAAGTTTTAATTATCTCTAAAAATAATGTGTAAGATTGAAAAGTAATATCTAAGCATGTAGCTCTAAAAATACCAGAACTTTAGAGTCCTATTAAATTATATAAATCAAAATGACTAAAAGTTCCTTAGAAATGGGTAAGTTATGTTTATGTGAGTATAAATATGTATGTATAGTATAAGAAAGAATATAATTCACATGGCCAAAAATTTAAATGTATTGTAAGAAGGGGTGCTTCAAATTTCTCAGTCCAACCAAGAAGAGATTAAAAAAAGATTTGTTTGATCACTTGTTTAAATTTTTTGAAAAAATATTTTTGATGTTTGACCAGAATCTGGAAAATCAGTCAGGCAAAGAACTTTTCAGCACAGCCTTTTGTGTGTGTGTGTACATTTATAGAATAAAGTAATTCTATAGAACATTGTTGTACTTAAGTTTTGACTTACAAACAATATATATAGGAAGAGTTTATGATACATGTTACACTTGCTTTTTATACTTATATATGTACATATAAAATGTAATATGCATCCATATATTTTTGTGCATGTAACACTTTTCACAGAGTGCACAACAGATACTTTGATTGTCGACACAAGTGTTAATCACTACATAAATAATACCATTATATTTTTAGGGGTAATAGGCTAGTTTGTGTGTGTGTGTGTGTGTGTGTGTGTGTGTGTATATATATATATATATATATATATATATACATATGACATATTTAAAATAAATTTGTTTGTCAGTAGTGTAATAGTCATGTGTAGACAAGCAGTATCAGATGTGTAGTTATGATGGTCATCTTATAATTGAGTGAACAGCTGCTATATATATATATATATATATATATATATATATATGGGATAATATATAAATTTTTATATCAAGAACAGTTTTGTATGAAAGATATATGACAAAGTGGAAAAAGTTCTTGTAACATATTTCATCTGATAGGACTTATCAAACTAGGTTTGTCTACATTGATGCAATTACACATGTGCAAGGAATGAAATATCACACGAAAACATTTTCCACATTGTCATATATGATTAACACAAATATAAAATTTATAAAATTAATGGATTTATTTTTAAGCCAACATTTTTATTACTTCAAACGTTATTATAGTGGATACTTCGAAATAGAACCCCCCCCAAAACACTTATTTTTACTTTAAATAGTGTGTATTATGTCTATTGGTCTGTGTATTTGAGAAATCTTGATAAAGAAAATGTGCTCTCCAGGAATTGAACCTGCATCCTTTTTTGTAGGAGAAACCTACCTGGGCTTGATGAGGAAGTGTGCTTTCCTTAAAAGGGAAAATAGAGCTTTGCTGAACTGTGATGCTCTTCATAGCCAAGTGGTGAAGCACATCAAAACAGTGGTTTCTCCTACAAAATTGGGTGAAGGATTTATTCCTGCTGAAAAGCACATTTTCTTTAAGATTTCTCGAATATGCAGGTTGATAGATGTAATATACACCGTTTAAAGTAAAAATAAAAATGAGGCGTCTATTTCAAAAAATGAGTATCCACTGTAATATTTATAATATATATATATATATATATATATATATATATATATATATATATATATATATATATATGAGAGGAGAAAAATATCTTCATTATGCTTTAAATCCTCTTATAAAATTTTATGACTTTCTAACAACATTTTGGGTGTGTGTATAAAAATCAGACACTCATCAACATAGAAATCTATAAATGTATGGATATGTAGATAGGGGTGCATGGCTGAGTGGTTACAATGTTCACTTTCTGACTATGAGACCTGAATTTGAATCTCACCATGGTCAATTTTTCAGGAAGGTAACTTATAGATGCTATCAGCCTGGTGAAGCCACACCAGTATGTGGCACCTTTGGAAAGAACCTGAAAACCATACCATGGGTTGAACCAAACTTTGTGAGTGAAATTGGGTAAACAAAACTGTTCCACCAATGGTTGTGCTAGCTCAAAGTCACAAGTAATCGTGACTGAGGGTTAGAACATACTAGCCTTGTTGAAACGATCATGCCAGATGATGAGTTCACTCCCAGAAACTGTAACTAAGGTTCACTCAGCATAGTTGCAATATAAACCCCAGGTGGAGTCTGGGTGTTGAACAAACACAAATGTACCTGAGCAGTTGTCTGCACAAAATGGACTGGCTAGCTCCCCACCCCTTGCAGCAGACAGGTATACTCAGAAATGAGTAGAAAACCATTATATATATATATATATATAATCTACAAAATAGCTTCTGGAAATGTAGCTGTATATATCTTATCTATACTATTGAAAATTTAGGATACCTGCCACTGACAGGGTTAGAAAAAATGTCTTAGCAAATTACAAGTAGGTTTAATTCCCAATAGGTGCTCCCCAGTAATAGCCTTGTGTCAAGCAAAGCTAAATTCATATCTACCAATGAAAACACAAAAGCATTTTAATAAATGGGCTTTATAAAATGTCTCACAGAAATCTTTCAATTTTGAGTAAAATTATTCAATTAAAGATTAAAGTGAATATATCATAAAGTACAATAAATATGTCTAAGTATATATATATATATATATATATATATATATATATATATATAAAAGAATAATGTTCTACAGGGTCTCATCATGAGGCAAAGAAAAATAATCAAACATTACATCTGTAAACTTAAAAACATAGACACTGAATTAAAATAATTTTCCCACATAGCATTTGGTTTATATTTTTTCTCTTCAGAAAATAAGAAAAGGCCAGCCAATAATCTGCACATAAATATGTCTCTCTCTCTCTCTCTCTCTCTATATATATATATATATATATATATATATATATATATATATAGGGTGTGCTAAAAAGTCCTGTCCAATCCACTTCCCAAAATCTAACCTAATAACAAAACCTCAGAATATAAAAAGCATCTTCTTGGTCAAGGTGGAAGTTTTTCAGTATCCCCTCATGTGTGTGCATACATTTTTTTCTATGGTGTGAACCACTGTTCTGGTTTCTGGGGAGAATTTGAATATCAATTATCCAATGTCTTTGAGCACTTTTGGCTTTCATAAACCAGTATCAAGTTTGTTTGTTTTTTTATGTGTTAATAGGATTGTGTCTATATGTCTGTACAGCATTTCTTAGTGTTGCATCTTCATGGGTCAATATATGCTTTCTTTTTGTTTTTTTGTTCTTTCAGCACACACACACAAAATTTTTTTAATGACTTATGTAAGCCAAAAGCATTCAGAAGACATTAGACAATTCATGTTAACATTTTCTTCAGAAAACAAAAAGGATTCAAACTATAGAATATATATATATATATGTATCTGAAGATTGCATTTAAACAGACTGTTGTTATTACTGGGTGTTGACTGCCATGTACATTTATATATATATATATATATATATATATATATATATATATATATATATATAAAAATTTGTTTGAACATCTAAACAAATATATCCATGTATGTACCTTTGTATTATACCTATGTATACACTGAAATATATACAAAGACATACACACATGAATGCCTTTATATACAAACTCTCAGTACACACATATACATTCAAACACCAATATGCTACAGTAATTTTAGTTCATGAAAGGATAAATAATTGATAGAATAATGAAACTAAATCCCTAATTCCATTTTATGCCAGGTATGAAGGGCATGTTTGACATGATTTTAATTAAAAAAAATACAGTTTTTATGACTTTGGCAGTAGGAGCTCTTTAGCATAGGAAGGCAACAACCTGTTCAACATGCAATATCAGATCATTATTGGATTAATAAGCCCTCAAATAAACAGCCTCCACGAATCCAAATCTTATGAACACGACAGGGAGTTTTTTAGCAATGCATTGAAAATACCTCAACATTAAATTAGCGACAAAGCAACATCCATGCATTATTACTTTACTAGGTTTTTGTGGATACATTTTATTTTACAGTTTTGGGAAATAATTTTAGGTCTTAGAACACAAGAAGTGTATCAAAAACTAGTGTTTTTGAACAGAAATGCACATACATTTTTAATAGCTCACAAAATTTAGCAGTTTGAAAAGAATTTAAGTTCTATTGTTTTAATTTTATCTTAGCCAAAATAAAATTGGGAATCTATTTCCATTAAGTCATACACACACACACACACAATCCGGTGATACACATATTCAAAAGTAATTAAGTTTCACATATTCCTTGAGGTTTGCAGGCAAAGGCAGGGAGTCTATAGCGTGTAGGGACTTTGCCTGACGAAGCCTCCTTCTGATGACCTGTCTGCACAGGTGGGTCAGCTTCTTTGGTTTATTTTTGGTAAATCTGACGAAGGACCAGTAGTCGAACACTTCATCAATCACATTTTGTACGATGGGGCAATTAGCAAAAAGATTCTTGTAATATACACGACTTGTCTTTTCAAGTGTAGCCCCCCAAAGAACAAGTAATCGGACAATGCTCTTGTACAGATTGAGAAAATCTTCTGACGTTTGTAGTATGCTTTGGTATAGGTTCATATAATCCTCCGTCTTTTCCAGCTCTAGGGTCGAGGGTCTCGCTTCGTGCACGTAACGCGTTTCATACATGGACAGAATGCCTAGAGCAATGAATAGAGGCAGAAAGGATTGTTGCCGTCTCGTTGAATCAAATGTATTTTCGAAGTAAAGTGAATTTGGGTCGGCTCCGGCCGATAGTAACATCTCAATAATACCAACGAATTTACATTGATGTCCGAATAATCTCCGTTGGTCAGGATTAGTCTCCAGGCAGACCACACCGTCCTTGTTGGTTTGCAAGTATTTCACATTATTACGGATCATTTTCAGGCACTGATTAAGAGCTGTCTCTCCATTTTGGTCATACTGATTAATAAATTTAGCAGGGTAGTGTCGTAGTAATCTATCCACACAGTCCAGGTCTCCTCTCATTACGGAAGTATGTAAAGGGATAAATCCGCTACCGATGCTTCTTTCGCACTGGTGTCTGGCCGGAGAGTGACTGATAATCAGTTCCAATGTTTCGACATCGCCTAGTTCCGCCGAAAGTTGTAATGGAGAATCACCTTTTGCATCGACGATAGACAACTGTAGATCTTTCTTGATCATAAATGCAATCAGATCTCTCCCGTCTTCCAATTTAATGGCCCCGGACTTCATGCAGTCGAGCACCGAGTGAATGAGACGACCCTTGGACGTCGGGAGATTTGGACTGCAACCGTTTTCAAGGAATATTTTGACCAGTTCAGTGTTACCCTGGTTGCAAGCCAATTCTACTGGAACGGGGAGGTTGACGGGATTCCACGGCATAACGCTAGTGTCAGTAATAAAATCGTCGCAAAGCCTCCGCAGATTCTCAGCATCTCCATTTTGTACAGCATTTACCAGCTGGGTGTACATTTTAAAGCTAAAGAAAGGCAGGATAATTTATGAATGGACGGATAAGCGGACGGTTGTGTTCAAATAAAATGGATGGAAGGATCACTTGTTTCACTCTCTCTCTCTTTAGCTTTCTTACATTAAAACTTCTTTTTTTTTTCTCTAGTTGTTGTCGTCTCATGTAATCCACCGAATAAAAAGAAGTGAGGCGATTTATGTTTTTAAATGAGTGAAATGAGAACTAAAATTCAACAGTAATACTTCCAGTACTAAACACACAGACAAAGCCGATATCCATACTCAAAAAAAAAAAAAAAAAAAGTGATGAAAGTAAGATGCGTATTTATTTATTTTTATTAATATTTTTTTTTCTCCTCAAAGATTTCCATGTTTTAAAACCAACGAGATCCTCATCCGCTGAATTTTAGAAGATTTACGGCCACGAAAAAGTATTTAATTTATTAAGGAGCCGTACAAAAAAGAAACTTGTCGCACGAAGTTTTTCCCCTTCTTTCTCTCTCTCTCAGGGTTTGATTCCCTAAAAAAGTATTTTTCCAAAAAACACCCACGCAATTAAGTAATCTTGATTTTAAAATTTTCTTTTTTTTTTTAAGCAAAATCGTAGGAGCAGACATTTACAGTCAATTTTAAATATTCGACTGCAACCGGTATTTTTTTTTTTTTTTTTTTTTTTTTTTTTTAAGGCTACTGATTTTAAAGGGCCGTTTTTCTTCCACCAGTTTTACATTGTGCACAGATTACTACTGAATTTGAGAACAGAAAAGTTAGAGCCGCTGTCATGGGGTAAAATGTGTCGAAATAGTTGTTGATGGAGTAAAAAGAAGGATGGGGATATAGGGAGAGGAAGGTGGTCACTCAATTTCATTGATAAAAAAAATTAACAGAGGGAAAAAGGTTGTTATTTTTTTTTCTTCTTACTTCCACAATTAAAGCTTTATCCAACACCAGGAACAAACAGTGGTTCCTGTAACCAATGCATTGATCCGAAGGTCGAGAGAAAGAGAAGAATTGGAATCTCTTAGTTGAAAACTACATCCACATGATGATGATGACGGCTTCGGCTAAGTAAAAAGTAGTAGTAGGAATTGCTATGCACTCTCTATCTACCGAGGCGTGCCCCTCTCTCCATATTTCTCTCTCTCTTCTCCTTCTACTCCCATTTAGAACGTTACTCGTACTTTCTCAACATTTGTAATATAAAGCTGGCCTCCCACTCACTAGCCGCACATCCGAAATGGATACTGTCTATTTATAAATATTTATCATATGTCAATAATATTAATAATAAGCATTCTGCAAGTTCTGCTAAATGTAAGACCATTTTAAAAATAACCAGTATGAGCACAAATTAACAGTGCGCATCATAAACTTTTAGAATTATTGTATCTGCTGAATAAATAATTCCTCAAGGAGTCGAGAATTGGTGTATTCTATTCAGACCTGGTAAAAAAAAAAAGTTGGTAAAATTGTTTTTTGTATAATAAAAAAATAGTTGAGAGACCAATTGGATATATATGAAGTTTTTTTAGTTGGGTAATCGAATTTTATTTCTGAAATAGTTTGTTCGCTATCAATGGCAAGGAAATAATAATCTAAATAAAATTAAAAAGTTAAACAACAAACTAGTAGTGTACTGTAAACTAGTAAACAAAACATGCTCAACAAGAAATTTAAAAACATTTTTTTATTTTTAACTTTTTTGTCGTTCTAAAAATGTCAGGTCGATCGCCTCTTAAAAATGAAATTAGTAATAATCAATTTTCAAAACTTGCAATACGATGAGTTCTTGTGGCAAAAGAAAAAAATATTTAGAAATCCTTTAAAAAGTTTTGATGTCTATTTTTGTTTATATTCTTCCAAAGTAGTGAGTTTTTCATAAACGATAACAATAACATTCTTTTAAAAAACAACAAACAAAATGATTCGAAATTCCTTTCACAACTTTTTCATTGGGGAAAAAATAATATTTTGAAATGTTAAAAAGAAAATAATGGAATTCATACACTTTCCACGAAGTAAAGTTTTGGTTTAAAAAAAAAAAAAAAAAAAGAAAAAGATTGTCGTTAATTTAAAAATAATGATGACGACAGACAATTCACCCTTGATTCAAAAAATAAGATATTGTTATTCAAACTAATTGTTAACCCATTATTATTTTTTACTCAACTAGTGGTCAGTTTTTAGTGAATACTGAATAAATATTAAATACTGAATGCAGATGATGCATCCCTTTTTTTTATCGTTACAAATTTCTTTACCAACATTTTTGAAAACATTCTTGTTTTTTAAATATCACTTTCCGCAGGAAAAAAAGACACAATTCTAGCTATCCCATTTCCGTAATGATTACGAAAAATATTAACGGAATGGAAGAAGACCCCGTGTTTAATAAGAAGCAGAAGCTAAAACCAGAAATGACGAAATTTAAATGCATAACGCCAACGGAGTTCTTATTTACTGATTATTTTTTTTTTTTTTTTTTTTACATTGTGAATATTTACATGTAACATTTTTCTTCCAGTTTTTGATTGTTATTTTTATTTCGAATCTTACGAACGTTAGAATAAAAAGTTTTTAATTCGTTTTTTTATTACGATCTCTGGATAAGAATAAAAAGATTGATTAAAAAGAAAAAGGATTTTAGAGTCGATTTTTACTTTTTTTTAGAATTTTATTTTCTTAGTTTCAATTAAAATTTCCTAATTTCAATTAAAACACGTGTATTTAATTTTATCTAAAAATCACGATTCAAAATCTGATTATTAATTGCTGTTTATTCGCAGTAAAAAAAGAATTCAGAAAAAGTAAAGATTTATCGGAATCCGAAATTTTCCGTCAAAGTTAAATAATTTTTTTCTGTTGCCTCCCCAACTCTTTCTTTTGTTTTTACTTAATGCAAACTTCGCGAAAAAAAAAAAGAAAATTATCTGAACATTTTGAAATTGTATTTTTCATTACCATAGGCTGTTTTACAGTCGACATCAAAGGAAATATGCTGCCCAAATACAAAATTTACTCATTCAATAGTTTGTAGGCGAGAGAAAAATGACGGTGAGTACTGACATTTTCGGAAGTTCTGATCAAGACAATTTTTTTTAACTTATTTGGATAAATAAACTACAAACTTGTAGCAAAGAAGAAAAGAGGGATGTTCTGTAGATTAGCCACTGTCATTTTACTTTTTCAAAAAAGCCTTATGGTCACATTGTCACTGTGCACTGTTTTTTAAAGTTCTTTTTTTTTTTACTATTGTTCCCCATTACAAGGCCCGAGAACCACTCAAGGTAGAGAGTTAAATGAATAAAGTTGTTGTGAGGACGTAAATGGAGGAAGTAAGAAGTGCATAGTATGAGGATAACGGTTGACCCCTTTCCACCACTATTATAAAACTTGTAAAAAAAAAAATTGTTGTTTTACTTTTATAATAAAAGTAAAACAACAATTTTTTTCTAAATAATGAACGTTTCCTATTACGAACAGGTCTTATTTTAAAATTTAGATATGGCTATTTTATTTAAAATGTGTGAAAACACACACGCAAATCTAGTTGTCAGTTGAAGAAAAGCAAATTGTTTTTTAGTTACTCTATGTCACACAGTGTCTAATTATGAAGAGATAATGTATTAAATTTAAATGTAACTTCCATTTCTGTTTTATTTTAACTTGTGTATTACTTCAGAACCCAGATGACAATGCAAAGGAAACTTCTTTCAGTGTAAGTTTGTTTAAGTTTTTGTTTTTATATATATATAATCATTTCACCCCAAACAAGGTGATAAAGCCACTAAGAAACTAGGGTGTTACTGAGTGTGAAAGAATCTAAGAAAAAACATTATTAAGGAGAGAGAACAATAAAAGAACAGAATTTAAGGAAACAAGATGACGAATGACATTGCATTTAAATTTTTAAAGATCAAAATTGACTGGAAAGCAAGCTGAGTGTTCCAGAAGCGAGACGTGCAAGAGAAGAAACTGTTAGCATAAAACTTATGGTTACATCTAGCAATTTCAAATGTAAAATGATGAGACCAAGCTGTCAATCTAGTACTATGCTTAAATTTGTAAAATCAAGGTACCAAAGAGGAAAAATCAGAACAATTAACATAGAAATATTTATAGAAATGGCACAGAGAATCTACATTAGAGTGGTGGGAATATGACTGAAACTGAGATGCCAGGGCAGAATCAATAACATTACATATTCTTCTTTGGATTTTGTCAAGAATCTCTAAATACATAGCAGACACATCAGGCCAGATGTGACCATAATATTCAATGCATTTACTGTAGTGGATTGGTAAATAGGCTTGTACCTATTTGCATAGGTTATGTAGAAGAGAAATAAAGTGTATAGTAAAGTAAAAGACAAGTGGAAGTTGACTATTGATCACATGTCATAGAACAACACTACAACAACAATGCTTAAGTCACTTGGATGAACCAGAATTTGTCGAGACTTGGATCTGGTGTTTTGCAGCCCAAGTTAGAGCTAAAAAATTGAATGACAACTAGGCAAGAGGGGGAGAAAATGGAATAACAGACCTTTTTCTAGCTTCTAGAAGTTTACAAGCTAAAAAGAAGCTTGTCAGCAGAAAGAAAATTTCTGCCCATTAAACAGAAACAAGATGAATCAATTACGCAATATCTTCACATATTAAGAGAAAGCAGATTCTGTGAATTTGAGAAACTTGGAACTCAAGATTTGACTATTGAGGATGAATTGATCCAATTACAGTTGATTGAAGGTATGGTTGATATATTTCATAAATATAAGATATTGAAACAATTCCAATTGAATAATTTGTCTCTAATTACATGTGGGGAAGTTATACAATGGTTGGAATTGATAAAAAAAAATATAATTCTACTGAGTACAATGTTGAAATGTACAGTATAAAAAAGGCATGAAA